GAAGGTCCTCTGAATCTTGGACTTGCGTTGCTCCCGGAAGTCCTCCACGACGCCAGCAGCCAGCTCATTGACCAGATCCATTGTCTCTTGGGGATACCTGAAGCCCAAGGTTCCTCTCAACTCAACGCATAGAGCTGGCCGCGCTAACACCAATGATGAAGGTAGGCAGGTCTTGTGACCAGATGCATTCAAGTCACCAAAATGACACTGAAGATCTCCCATCTGACTAAACCAAGCACTTCTAAGGTATTTGTCACACATTAGGGACTGAAAATGGGAGGCACTGTTAAGGGTGTTCTACAAGCTAGGACATATGAAAGCTTTATTTTAGTTGATTCAATGAACACTTGAGCACTCCTTGAACCATTCTTTGAGGACACATTCATTAAGGGAACACAGGTAAGATGACTGTGGAGATGCAGATAAACTGGCCATCTCTGCACACCTCTGCTGCTGGTTGAGAAAATGCTTACATACTTCCACTTTTTCTTTCTTACACATGTAAAGCCCAACTATGTGTAATGCACTATGCAACTGACATAATACTGTGATGACTGACAAACATATTCAACATGAAACATAATGCTGCAACTCCAGAACTTCGATCAAACGGTCTGAGATTGATGAGAACAAATATTGAGGACACGAATCAGAAAGAAGATACAATGCTGTTCATACATTTAAAAGCACATAGATATCCACATATCATAAGCAATATTCCATTCTTGAACCTGTATACTACACTGAGAGCACATTCAGTTAATGACAATAAACACCAGTGAACCACCCCAATCCTGCAAGCACATTTCACAGTCTGGCACATTCCATACATGCACAGCCCACTCCTAACTAAAAAAGCACCCTGTATTATTCCTTACTGAGTATGCACACACCTAAATCTTTATCAGCCTGAACTCAGGAGTGGTAACATTACATTAACATTCATGAATGATCAGTGAATGGATTCAGATGCCAAATGCTCATTGGTGATGATCTGCAATAAAACACCTTAATACAGCTTCAAATAAACAACCACTGACTGCAATTAAACCAGGATATGCTGAGTGGGTGGACAGCATACTGCAGTAACCAATTACAGAAATGGTTGTCTTATCCAGCTGACAAGTTGAGAACAAACTTCCCAATGTCTCTGAAGCCTGAAAGGTATTCACAATTCTGATCTTGCAAAACAGCCATCTCACCTGCATCCCAGGAACTCCATATTGGCAAACACCTGAGCTAAGCTGACAAGCTTGCTTTCTGGGTAGTCGTTTTTGTGAGCTTCCATAAACTTCTTGCACAATTCCCAATGCTCAGGAGGTTCATGCTCATTACGATATTTTTCAGCATCCCAACTGGAGTCGATAGACATCGCACCAGGACAGCAATGAAATGAAATGCAATGAAAACTGCACACAAAATGGGCAGGCCCCTTCTTTCCTGTCTCCGGAAGGTTTTTCTGGGTAAAACATAGAACATACTTGTATTTGTCGCGTTATTTTTGTCGTACAATCGCCTCCGTTAATGCTACCAAATATTGCTAGTGGCGATATTTCGTAAAGGCAAAGAAAATGAACGCAGTTGGCGTAATCGGTGGCCGGTGTAAAATAAAGTGAGGTGGAGCGGCGCGTCCAACCAGAAGACTGTAAATAGCAAATCTCAAGTCCTGAAGTTCTGTGAGCATATTTTGCTGGTTCCTGTTGGTTTCTCGTCTGACAGACGAGAAGGCTCTCGCCTCTATGCCTTCACTTCTCAGTTCAATCAAATTCCGATGTTTTTTCGGTCAGAATATCTCAGCTGCATTTTTTGCTTGTCGATGTTAGCGTGCAATTTGACAGCGATCTTTAAGGGAAAACTTTGCATGTGTTTGCTGCGTGAAGGTTAGCGGGATTTCAACTATCCACCTACCAAACGGTGCCCCGTCCCTCAGCGTGTCCTCTTTAGCCTCCATCGTACCATTCCCGGTGCCTCCTCACATTCCCTCCTTTGGTCTTGTTGTACTTCCGTCTCTTCGTTCCTCTGTTCACGCGACGCCCTGCCTCGCGGGAACTTCTCTTCCGTCTCTCCGTTCCTCCGTTTCCGCGTCGCCGTGTCTTGCCGTAACACTGCCTAGCAGCAGCTTCTCTTCCGTCTCTCCGTTCCCCGTTTCCGCGCTTCCCTTTCTCGAGAGTCACTGCCTGTTTCCGGTTGCGCAGTCCTCCTGTCCGGGAATGTAACTTGCCTGCTGCCACTCTGCCCGGCTGTCTCGACTACTGTCAATTATTCTGCCTACCTCTCTTTCGGTGTCTACCTCTATCCAGGCATGCCATAGGCTTAGCCTAAATGGCTACACAAGGTGTAGGTCTGGCACCCATTGCTCATTTCCACACCCTTTTTCCACATTCCTCATTTCCTCACCCGTTTCCAAGCAAAATGTAATATACAGTACACCACAGTATTGTATTTGCTTCGTAACGGTCAGACCACGTTTCATTGTTTTCCAAGCCTAGGACCTTTACATGCAAAAATGTCATGCAACAGGCAAGGCTGAAAGCAATTCCTTCAGATCTGATTTCTTACAACCGACTCAGCCGTGGTTCAGCGGGTAGAAGAGAGCAAAGATAAATGGAAATCGCACAACTCCTCGAGTGCGCAAAAAAGCTAACTTGGCCCCGACCCGGTGCCTCACGGTGATCTAAACCCCCTGGCTAACTGGCGATTCACCGCGAGCCTGAACTGCCAGTCGAGTTGGCATGAGTCTTCGAGGCGACGCATGAATTTGCGAGGCGAGACACCGCGGCTCTGCGTGACGAGAGGGCGCAGGTCTACGAGGCGAGGCGATACAGCGTCGAGCCGCTAGCGGTCGGTCGGAGCTGGAGCGTCCCGCTTGATCTTGCAGTTGATGACCACCGCCCAGCGCTGGCTGCGTGCCCGCATCCCGCCCAGTGCGTGCCGACTGCCGGTCGGACCTGGGGCACACCAGGGGGCAAACGGCATGCTCGACATGGGGGACGAGAACAACATGCTTGACACCGGGAGGTGGGACACGTCCAGTGTCGGCGGCCGAGGCTTGACATGGGGGACGAAAACAACATGCTTGACACCGGGAGGTGGGGCATGCCCAGTGTCGGCAGCCGAGGCCCGCCATACCACCGTGCGACCGCCCCTGGTGCCTCAGCCCTCTTCTACGCTGATGCTCTTTGCGCAAAGGGAGCGCTCCATGCCATGATGACTGACCCTTTTGGTTGATGCCCCTTCCCGCGTCTCTCCAAGAGTTCATTCATGACCGTCGTGGCAGCACTGTCTGGGCGGTGACAAGAAGCGCTTCTAGCGTCGTTCAGTTGGCGCTGGCGCTGCAGCCCGTCCTAGCGCTACCTTCGAACAACACCTGGAAGTTGCAGTGCACAAGCTCTCCTGTAGATGGCAGGCATTGCAGCACATCTGCATGAACCGAGACCGACTCGGTGGACGCGTGTGACATGACGTGGTGACATGTCTCCCGCGCGGCGGCTGGCCCTGGCGTATATCGTCGCAAACTAGAGGTGCCGACCGTGGATGGGTTGCGTCTCGAGCTGTGAGCCAGCAGATGTCTCCCTCGGTCTCCCGGGATCAGCGGGTAGAGACCAGCTGGGGAGAGCCCAGACGGGGGGCGGTCGAGAGATCGGTCGAGAGGCCGACAGAAGAACCGGTCGAGAGACCAGCCCCAGCCGGGAAAAGCCACGAAGAGAGAAGCTCTCAGGAGCAAGGTGTGACACTTGCGCCGGGGTACCCCACCGCCGTTGGGTCAGGCCCGCGTTCTGACTATGTAAACGTCGGCAGTGTGAAGCGTGCCGCATCCCTTAGGAAACACCTGGATGATGTTGTTATGAGGGACAATGGTGCTTTTCATATATAAACATGCGTCCGGGGGCATTACAGCAGTCTTATTTGGAGCGGTGCTGCCGTTTCCCAACTCGCCCGGTTCGAAAGACTATAAC